TAGCGGACAGTATCTGCGCAGCTTTCTATGCTGATTATCATGTCATCCCTTCACTTATGTTAATGAAACAAAATCTAACAGGCACGACAATCCAGTTCTTACCAGAGTGAAGAGCATAGCTGAAACTGAAGCGAACACCAATTCTGGTTCAATAACGCTCATGGTATTTATCGCGGTTACGTGACATCTTGAACTTTTGAACTTAGTCCTTCTGCGAAATTAAAAAGCGCAGACAGATAGAGGACAGCGCCTTGCCAAAGCATCCAACAGTGTAGGAAACTTATGGAGAGCCAGGGAACGACCTTTTTTCAAGGAGATCCGGGCGAGTGAGCCACTTATCATACGTGAAAAGCTGAAATGTGCGAAGTTACAATGACCATAGAGTGGCACGCGGACGAGAGAGGGCAGAAAAAAAGAACAAGTTCGACGCGTTCGTAGGAGTTCAAGTTGTCCGTGGACCATTTATCGCGAGCGCGCCCTCCATTGCAAGCACACGGTGTTTGCGTATTGTCGCGCGCGACGCCGCGTGATCACGTCCGTCTCCTCCTCTAGGGAATAGAAAAAAATGAAGCTTGAAATTCCAAATGTATCAGCGGCTTCGAGGACATTTTTCGTGTGAAATAATTCATGGAATGCGTCTGCGACTTTCATAGCCAGGTTTGCAGTCGCAGAGAGTGGACGCACATCCATCACTCGGAAGAGCTAGATAAAGTGTCAGCAACGATTCAGCACTCGTATTCAAACAAGCCGTCACTGCCTACAGGAAAGTGCCCTTCACGGTGGATTATCGCGCCTTTGTTGCCTGCAGCGTCGTAGAACCAGGAACCCTTCGCCAGGATAAAAGAACTCAAATGGCGAAGGCGAACACTTTTATCATCGCGTCGCGGTTTCCATCCTAGGGCGCGTTATTTCAACTAGTCTGAGAGCGTCCTCACATGTTCATAGTGAGAACGATGTGCTTTCGATGGCAACCATTTGTTGCTGTGTTAGCCGAGGTGTTGTATTTATTAGAACTGCGTACAATACCTGGTCAATGCTATTTTCTTCATTTTTCAGTCGGACTTTCCTCGTCCCCTCAAATTAGCTTGGCAATGTAATGGACAACTAGGAGAGATTCATGTGTCAGGAATTTGACTCATAACAGCATCTTTGCATCCCAGTAATTTTCGGGTCATGAGGTAGTCTTCCTGCATTTCAGTCTTATTCCACGAGCGATTTCTGATCTGCCACTCTAGTGCTCGAAGCATGAGGGAAATGAACGACTTTTCTGTCTTCTATTTCCTTTCGCTCAACGTTGTGTCTGATCATCCCATTCAGCTGCGAAGGAGGGAGAGGGGTTCCTGCTCCTCAATAAGTACCGCAGAGGCTGAGTGACTTGTACTGTACTTGTGACGTGTACTCAGCCTGCGTACATATGAGGTTAATCTCGGACTAAGCCGCACAGGACATTTGGAACTATTGTGTGGAAGGGCTTTGCTTTTCTTACTTCCTCATTTCAGGCGACACTCGTCGACAAGATGGGGAAAACGAGGGGGAGCTAACAGCGAGTGCTCGATTAGGCTTCAAAACTCTTTGGTATTCGTCTTATTCAGACTTTATTTGTCAGCTGCTTGCAGCCCTTTCGACCAGATATTGTTCGCAGTTCTCATACCGACCGCGGGATGCTAAATTGTCCGCTTTTGCCTTTAAGTTCCTCTCGCTAGGATTACCAGCGCCGCCCTACCGCTGAGTGTGCGATCGTGTCTATAGCTGTTCTGCTTTTTTTCCATGCCTCCTCTTGACACGAAGTAAAGTGCAACCAAAGCAGTCCACTTCGCGAGCTAAAAGGTGTAACGGTGATGCTTCGAGTCATCAATAACGCATTGCATTGGTGCCATAGTTCGTCGAGTCACAGTAATCCTGAGTTGTATAGGGATTTGTGCTACATTCGCCTTCAACTCCGCTTCGTTTATCTCTTGGAAGTGTTTGAGTGGAACCAAGTGGGGATGAGAGAGAAATGATCTGTTAGCATGAGGGCGCGCAGCAGGTCGCACGGCATGGATCTATCAGTAAGTCCGGAAGACTAGACCACAATGAGGCAAAGGTCTTTTCAGGGGGCTCGATGTTTTATTTGCTATGCACTGGAGAGTCGCTTGGAGACTACAGATTCATGATTGAACACCACCACCCACAATATTGAATGGTGGCTGCTATGATCAGGGAAATGAATATTGGCCAAAATCAATGATTGCCTGTTGCTGCCGGTCCTGTATCACCTTTTACTTTAGCATTGTGAAGCCGTCACGCATTCCCGCTACTGAGAAGCTCGACCAGTGTAGCAAAGATGCACAAACCTTGTGTTTCAGCGACACGTCAACTTCATCAGTTTTTGCCGGCGATCTAGGCATGAGCGGCGATCCCGGTAACACTGGCGAGACTGATGTCTCAGATGGAGCCCGCTCCGCCGTAGAAGGAGGAGGCGGAAGCTCTTTCCTGGTCGCTGATTTCACATTGCGACGAAAATATCAGCATCAACGATCATTTGGAGGCGAGCCGGAGTAGAGTAGCCACGAATGAAGCAATCGCACGTTGAAACGAAGAAGGCCTGAAACAAATATACGCGTATGGTAATTAAACCAGGGAAAGTTACGCCTGCTCAGAGCGGCAGAAATGAGATGAGTGAAGGAATCATGGAAGTACTTCGATGGCATATCGTCGTCATCCGAGCAGTTGATCAACCGACCCCAGGGATCGCGACCGACTGGCAGGCGGTCACGACCGCGGCGATCAGCTGTTTCCACCCTAATTTAGCAATTTCCTCCCTAATTTTCACTGTATTTCCTATTTTTTCCAAGATTATTTACGTTATTGTCTATATGAAGTTTAAACTCGTGAACTTTTTTATTTTCTCTCGTAATGGTGTGTTTTTCGCGATTTTTTTCAGGCGTTTGTCTAATTGTTTGTTTAATCGTTTAATTGTTCGCAAATGTTATAAAAATTCCAATTATAATTAACCTTGTGAAGACAAGGAACTGGTAATCTTGGAAAAAGCAGCCAAAAACAGTGAAAAGTAGGGAAAAATGACTAAATTAGGCCGGAAAAAGCAAATAGTTCCTACGCACGCGTTCGCTGCTGCAGCCGCGTCTGCGGCCCGTTGACGACCGCCCTAATCAACTGCCCGGATGACGAGGGGTAGGAGAGCAATAATCAGGTGCGCGCTCAGGTTGCTTTCCCATGTCATCGCGGCAGCGGCATTTCGCTGCTATTTTTCAAAGGACAATCCCTTTTAGAACAATCCTACTAACAGCGCTATAGTGTGGCAGCAGACCTATCCGCCTAAACGGTGGAAAATTGGTCTCTGAAGAGGACGATTAAGTCGAAACGTTAGGCCTTTTCAATAAATGTTCTACCTAACACCTCATAAAAGCGCTAAGAATATTGAAACACTCTGTACTGTAGTTCACTTTCCAATTTAGGGAAGTGGCACCAATAAATAAAAAAATACAGCTAGGGCTTGCTGACCTCTCGTTCTCTTCGCTGATATTCAAGAAGTGCTAGGCGTTTTCGGAGGTCCTCTATCTGCTCGTCAGCAGCGACGTCGATGTCCGAAAGTTTCCCGAGTCTCTCAGCCGCCTCGTTGGAGTCCTTATTGAGGAAAAATATTGTTGTCAGAGAATGAGTTAGTGTTGGATGAAGTTTGTAAAATGAAAGTCGGCTCAAATTAATATTATGACCATACTGTGACATGCATTCTTGCGATGGTATCGAGCACCCTTGTCACTTTTCGAATGCGCTCATCGAGTCTCCCGGCACAGGCAATCATTTCAGCTTCCGTCTCCTGAACACGTGTCTTTCGCTTGTTAGATAAGATGTCTTCAATGAATGCAGTCGTGAGACGGTATAAATCCTGTCACACGTGCTTGCTGTGAAAAGCAGCATACGCACTCTGCTAATATGTTGATAAATTCGTTGGCAACAAATGTGGACATGCTTCATAGAATGCCTATACCAGGGCACTCTGGTCTAGGCAATCTATGAGCAATCCTCAAAAGGAGGACAAGTCCAGAAGAACGGTGCCGAAACGGGTTTGTACCCTCCGGCTACTAAGACAGTGAACTTGTGTGCAGCTAGGTTGAGATTCTGTCCTCCTCGCCGTACCCTTTCTCCTCCGAATTCTTCTTTATCGGATTCTCCTGTTACAATGAGAGAGGCCCTATTTGGCTTGGTCGAAACGCCCCCCCCCCTCCCCCCACCCTCCTGCACTGGTCAGAAGAGTTCGCTTTTCTCATTCAAGCAATCAAGCCCTATTACGGTGAGGAGATGTGGGGTTTCTTTATGTGCACAAAATGTTCGCCCTCATTTTCTTTGTTTGGGACAGGTCGCACTTACACAAGTGTTACTATTTCTGACTACCAGATGCTCTGGCTGCCTACATAGACCTTCAACCTCTCTTGCAGCACCAGTACTCTAATTAAATGGAGCTGGTGACCTCATCAAACGTCACCTGTCTGAGACGATCGACAACATCCTTCCTATGTCTAATTGAGTCCATGCAGTTCTTACACAGCGCCAGCATTGCCTCCTCCTCTCTGTATACCCTGCAATTCAACAAATGCGTTCTGCGAATCATGGGTTTGATCGACTATCTGGAGTAGCTACCATTTCATGGTCAAGAAGTTACACTTCGCAAGAGATGAGTGCGTCTGATAAAGGACTAGCCTGTTGAAGCCTTCAGTTTAGTGAGTGCGTTGGCTGAGAGGCGTTACAGCAGCTGCAGCAACATTGGTTGAAACGCACAAGCCTTAGCCCGACGTGCGTCCACCACTTATCAAAAGTGACATTGAACTGTTTCCCTTTTTTCTTTTGCCGCCTAGCTGATACACGGTTTTTGAGTGCGATCATACTTCGCGGCTTGAATGCGTGCTCCATACGCTCACATCGCGACGCATGAACGCGCTCAGAAGCTTACGAATACGAAGCATGCTCTCGGCGTCGTACGAAATGCATTCGTAGACACATTCCCCCACGACGCCGTTTTACCCTCAATCACTAGATGAAATGGTGGGCCTCCAACGCTGAAAGCTGAAGAAGGTTCCACAGCCGTGGTGAGTAGTAGTGAAACACTAGACCATTAGGAGGGGTTCAAAGATAGTTCCCGCGATCAAGTTGTCCGCAAGATGCCCCATGCATATGGCATCTTTGTCCACAATTGCAGATTATAGCTCTTTCATCACTGGCAACGGCGAGATAAAGGCGCGTGAGTATGCAACCATTTACTTTCACTGTGCAAAACAACGGCTTACAAGTGGAGTGTGTATATAGTGTTGCCTGGAGCGTCGTAGGGCGATCCGGGAATCGGTTGCCGTCGAATCCTGCTGATTGGGCTCGCCGACCTCCAACAAACTCGTCCAAGACCCCGGGTCCACAGCCAGGGGATCTCTGTCCAGAGTATTCCAAGGTTTTTTTTCCGCTTCCCTCTTTACTAGGGAATAGTTATGGGCTGCTGAATCATGATCATCACTTTATCGCGAAAAATGTCGTGCCTCTTAGACGCGATCGCGCTACTGTGGGTGAAATTACACCGGGAGGGGGTCATGTTCGTTCATGTTCAACTCAACTCAACAAACAACAACAACAAAGTTCTGGGAAGGGAGTCGTACTGATATCACCATTTCTCACATCACGATGCTGTATCCTGCCTCCAATAGGCAGTTCCAAAAACGATATAAAAGTAAGTTCGACCTTTTTTGATGTCTTTTAGGCCGTGTTCATATTCGCAATACTGACGATTTGCAGAAACCGTCGAAAGGAAAGGTTGTGTATAGACCTGGAGGACGGCAGAACAAACAAAGCAACACAATGTGACAAAAGTAAAGTGAATATCTGGAGGACTGGCAAAACCGGGGGAAGGGGAGAAACAACATCACCCGCTGTTGAAAGTTCTGCGTGTCTTACTTTTGGAACAAGATGTTCAATACTCCGCTTGAACGTACTCAGATGCAAAATTCAGTATAATAATTAGCATATTGTATATTTAGTACTATTTTACATAGGAAATAATAAATAACTCAAAGATATTTCGAAACGTTCCTTAAAATTAGGAGGGCGTTATGTACACAAAGGAAGAAAGAAGGAAAAGGAAAAAAGAACAGGAACAATAAACATGAACGAACATGACCCCCTCCCGGTGTAATTTCACCCACAGTAGCGCGATCGCGCGATCGCGAAGTCTGAACGCGCTCTAACAGAGCAGCCAGCAGTGCGGTTCTAAACGGTCTGGTTTTTCATGCCCTTTTACCACAGATGTAAAAATCCACAGCTCTACCAGATGCAAATTCAGGCGCTGCCTCTAATGCAACTCCACGGCTTTCATGATTTACGAAGCCGTGGGCGCTTAACTTGTACTGCATACAGTATCTATTTGAGTATAGTGTAGTTCATTGCGGACGGTTGGGCGTGTTCGTGCGGCTGCGTTTGGCGCGGTGCCAAACTCGTTCTCCACGAGTTGTTCAAGCGAGCAAATGACAATACTGTATCATACCTTTCGTATTACTTGTTTTCTACTGCTTTTTGTCGCATGCCCGTTTCAACAAGAAGGCAGAGAACAGCTCAAAGAGGGACACACTCATACTGGCTGACACGCCCAACCGTCCGCAGCGAAGTAGAGTGTAACTATCCAAATACCTCTTTGCATTCACGTAGATCTTTCGTAGATCCGCTCTCAAACGTTCAGCACTTTCTTTTTTATCGGGCGCTGAAGCTGCAATGCTCAGTCAGAGGGTGAAGAGAACCACGAAAGCAGTAACCATTTGGCTCACGTTTCTTGGCAATATCTGTGTTCTTTGACATCGTGAAAGCAATGTGCACACGGTGTGTACACCGCCAGCTTTTGTACAAATGAACCTCCCAACTAATCGCATTTCTTTGTTTAGCACTTTTATCATGCCTGATTGAAAACATTACTTCGTAAACAAAAATGTTGTGATCAATTTTGAAGCTGAGGCCTTTTTGGCTGGTTGCACATCTGCCTTAGCGGGTTTTCATTATTGTTGGTTGTGGAGCTCGCGATTGCCACTCGTGGGCAGTCTGGTGCCTTTCTATCTTTCTATACTCTCCCAAACACTAGCGCCGTCGTGTCGTGATATCGATGTCGGACTGTGCGGTAAGACAAAGTGCACCATCCCCTTCCCACGATAACTGTTCATGGCTGCGTTTTCATCTGTAACACTGAGGCAAGGGTACAGCATCTTTGTGCGAAATCGAGGGGATCGTGCTTGTGGAGGGAGGGGGTCGTAAGGCTGCGTTAATACTTTGCGGCAGCGTACGTAGCGCTTCCAGCGTACGCCAGCGGCAGTGTCGGGGAAAGGATAGATATCGATCTAGCGTTCCCAGCGTCACCAGCGTACGCTAGCGTTTGCCAGCGGCGGGCTAGAGAGTATTGAAGAGTAGGAGGGTAGAAAACAGCTCGATTGCGCGTAGTGAAAATGTGGCGCGTGCATCGCACCGCATTAGTAGCCAATACCATACACTGAAATAGTTGCATTGTGCACAGGGCACATCTTTGTTGGGGAGTCCCCAATAGGGGGGTCGTATTTGGCCGCGAGAGAAGGGAGTGGTATTCGGGCTGGGAGAAATTTATTTTGATAGTTGATTTTTGTACGTTGTAGTGGGGGACCTTACTTGGTCATTGTTGAGAGGGGGGGGGTCGTATTTGCTTCCTGGCTTTCTAGGAATGGTAGTTGACTTTTCGTGATTTTCCTATTTCATGCGTGGTATATAACCCTCCCCCCTTAGGAAAAGAAGGGAACTTTTCGGGAACTTGGAAAAGTGGCAGGAAGTTGGGGAAAATCTGAAAATTGGTAGAAGGGGGTCGTATTGTCTCGCGGCTTTTCCTGTTTCACATGTGCTATTTACCCCTCCCCCCCCCCGCTCGACGGCTCGATTCGATGAGGAGGGACAGAGGGCCGGAGGGGGGGGGGTCGTACCAACCCCCAAAAAAAGGGGGGGGTCGTACAGACTCGACTAAAATCCCCAACCAATGATGTGCCCTGACTGTGCAGTTCTGTCAGTTGGCTTCATTGTTGCTACTTTGTTGCTTCAAAATGTCATAAATATGCACGTGCAGTAGTTTTTTTGGTCCTTCGAGACCAAATGGCTAGGACGCACGTGGGAAACTTGAGTACATCGACTGCATCTTCTGTTTTTAGGGACCACATCCTCATCGGGTACCACATTTCAAGAAAGTCTGTCGTTCAGCGTTGGCTAAGAGATCCCCAAAATATCTTTTGCATCCTGTGCACACTATCCAAGTGCTGTTTGTTATATGGCCGGCAGGCAATAATTTCCGTTCGACATGTGTGTCTGGAGACATTTTGACTCGCTCAATTTTAGACGCTCTCACGGGAAAGAACTGTTGAGTTCAGGAGAACAATAACAAATCTCTGTTAGATCTAGATTCATACTGCAATTCTTCACAAGCCGCAATGGTAAACGAATTCCAGCAAAAATACAAGCGCAATGTTTCAAATGCAGCTGAAATGGAAGAAGCGCACTGCTGCGTGGAAACGTGAATTAGCTCCCACTGTTTCATTGGCAAATGTTTGTAATGCTTAGAATCACGTAAAAATTATCAGATGGAAACCTGAAAATGAAACGGCTCAAAGTGCGCTGATCAGGGGGCGACGGTGAACGACAAAATCGCACTTCAGCATTCGGCCTTAGTAGCGGCGATGCGGCGCGGTTTCGTCATTGCAGCGCGCTCTTCTCCGGTAGTGGGTGTAATGACTTTGTAAGCGTCAAACTTCCCACACTCAACGGATCAAGTGGATAGGCAGCTAGTCAGTGAGTTGATACGAAGAGGGATTGTTACATCGTCCCGTTTGATAGCAAACAATAAACTTCACTCGATGTTCATATTACAAGAAAAACTTCACTGAATACAGGATCAAATCGTATTGATCCTTTCAGTCGTAAAACCGCAGCTACGGCTACTTGTATTAGCTACTGGTTCTTTGGAATACATCCCCTTAAGCAAGTGCAACGTTCCAGGTGTCGTATTGGAACATCGAGAGGATAGCTTCAGGAGAGCTCATAGAAATCATTACAAGAAAACACTAGAAACTGCGCCATGCGTAGCAGTAAGTTAGGATCAGATATAGAAGCTGGCGAAACGTTCTGTACGAATGGTTCCTTCTAGAGCGTAGCTTATTCAGGTACTATTTGAACCTGTTGGCGCCCATCGTTGGGAGAATGCTGCAACTAACGGGAGAAAATGTATATATGCATGCATCACCTGCGAGAATGGGGAAAATCGATCTTTGGAAAAGTCATCGAGATGGGATAACTTATCATGATGTGCGGTTCTTGTACACTCACATTTGATGAACATTTATTACAAAACTTCATAAAGCACCATTAAACAAAGGGCTTTACAGCGAGCTTCTTCATGTAGAATTGTTGAATGAGCTGAGTTGTTGGGTGGACCTTCAGCACGCATCTAAATAGTGAGTAAATAGTAAATGGAAAAATAGGAAAAATAGTTGATTAGCTAGATTGAAAAAAGACTAACTGTCTTCA